TACTGATAGATAATTAGACTCAGAAGTTCTGCTGTTACCATATTTACAGAAATAAACATACGTACACATCCCTCACACACTTGTCCTGTTGGGATAGATTCCTAAAAGTGGATTTTTTTTTTGTTCCTGTATCTTCTTACTACCTTTTGTTGGAGTGAGTGGTTTGCAAATAAACTTTTTTAAAAAAGGTGAAAAATAAGGGCTGTTTGAAGTGAAAGGAAAGTTGAAGCTTTTTGCTGAAAAAGCCATTAAAAGCGGCTCTTACTTTCAGTAAAGCTCTCAGCAAACAGTTTTCCTTGTGACGACAGTTGCCTTCCCTTTTTCTCTTCTCTGCAGGGGTAGGAAAACTGGGCAAAATAAAATAAAAACCTTCAAAGGCCATAAAATAGTTAAATAAAATTAGATTAAGAAACATGATATTGTTCAAGACTAAATATTGCAGTACTCCTGCCAGTTTGAGGGCCAGGTATAATAAGTGGATGAAACATGGTAAGAGTAGGTAAGGATGGGGACTAGACTGTATCAGCAGGAAACCCAAGATTATCATTTCATTAGTCAGTTTACTTCTTAGAAGATCAATTAACTGGCAGCCCTAACTAACAAAGCTGGGAATTTGAAGGTAAGGTAACTTTAATAGTATGGATTGAAGCTGTTGTACTTAATTCTTGTGATTAACACATTTCTACTAAGCATAGTTAACTGGTCCCAGTCATGCCAGGTGATAAGGACCAAGTGAAGAGAGGGGGCACCAGGGGGAAGACACACTGAGCAAGATGAGACGATAGCACATGAGTATGTGCTTGTAAGTGTATAAAATACTTTGAGCGGTGTTAAAATGGATNGATAGCACATGAGTATGTGCTTGTAAGTGTATAAAATACTTTGAGCGGTGTTAAAATGGATTGTTGTCATAATCCTGAATCCTCAAAAAGATTAATTCACATCTTAAGAGGTTGGGAATGATGTTTTTGGAAGATGAGAGTGCCTTAAGTGGTCCTTGAAGAGGAATGCATTTCTGAAAAAATCCTTTATATGAAGTATCTTTACTTTCTGATTATGCCAGGTGGCTATTAGATTAATAATCTCTAAGCACTCTGAACCATAAAATTCAATGTTGAATACAGGTATATATTGTTAGGATTTATTTATTTAAGACTAGTCAAGTGCAGTGAGAGAGAGGGGAAAGAGAAGAACAAGGAGTTCAATCTGTGACTCTGAACAGCTGAGAGAACAGTTACTGCCTTTGGACCAGACAGGATTTATTTTTAAAAGTGGTCTAGCTAATGTCACTAATTAAAAAACAAAAACTATTAAAGTGCAAAATTAAGATAAGCAAGAAATAGAAATCAGCACTCCCTCTTTTAAGAGATCACAGAAATGAACTTTCTCTGAATCTTTGCTCATGAATCAGCTTACATGGAGAGAAACTTGGGAGTCCTGCTCTCCCATAAAGCTTTTCTTAACGTAGTCCTATGCTTAGTGTTTTAAAAATTATTACAAAATCATGTTTTCTCTTTAATATGGTCACTGTGTTCAGAAACCTTTAGGATCAGTTATGCTCCTTCAGTAA